TTTTTTTTTTTTTTTTGCTAGTCTGGCAGTCTCTGGCTTTTAATAGTGTTCATTCTGTTTATATTTAATATAATTATTTATATGATTGAATTTAAATCTACCATCTTGCCATTTGATTTTTGTTTCTCCCATCTGTTCATTGTTCCATTATTGCCTCCTTTTGAATTGAGGATTTTATTAGTATTCCATTTCATTAACCTAATTGGCTTTTTACTAATACCTCTTTATTTTGTAATCTTAATGGATTACATTGTATATTCTTAACTTATCACTGTCTACCATGAATTAGTATTAAACATCTTTGTTTATAATGTAAGAGGTTTATTTACCCCTTTCTTCCTTTTGAGCCAATAAGACTTTGATATTCTTCATGATCCTAGCTACTCTCCATCCCATGGACTGGGGAGTGCCCACAGGTAAAAGATGTATAAACACGAATCTCACTCATTATGGTTCCCTTTACTCGAGAGCTGAATTCCCTTCAGTTTCTACCAGCTTTTGTTCACTCTCCAGTTTCTTCAAAACTGTTTTTATATTTTATCCAGTGTTTTGTATTGCTATTTGTGGGGTAGTTTGTCCTATAAAATCTACTCCACTGTTATCAGAAGTGGAGTTCTCACTGCGCCTGGGTGGCTCAGTCGTTAAGCGTCTGCCTTCGGCTCAGGTCAGGATCCCAGGGTCCTGGGATCGAGCCCCGCATCGGGCTCCCTGCTGTGCGGGAAGCCTGCTTCTCCCTCTCCCACTCCCCCTGCTTCTGTTCCCTCTCTCGCTGTGTCTCTGTCAAATAAATAAATAAAATTTTTAAAAAAAGAAGTGGAGTTCTCATTTTGCCATTTTTAATAATGTACTAAGCAATCTTCTGAATCCATTACCTAACTCAAAAACCTGACAGTAATCTTTATTTAACTATGTAACTCTTCCTCTCAGTCTATCCCCCCATATCCCTGACTTGAGGTAGCCATCATTCTGAATTTCATGTTACTATTTCCTCTTTTCTGTTTGTGTAGTTATGTTGAATCTATATGTATTTCTAAAATATATTTATATTTGTATTGTTTTAATTTTAAAAAGTCTCACTGAATTTATTGGAGAGTTATTTTTATTTGCTATTCTACTGCATAGATTTATTCATACCACACATTGCTTTAGTTTGTCTTGACAAGTGTATGTAATTACATTGTGTAAATACACCAGTTTATTAATCTTCTCTTGTGTTGGACATTTGGTTTGTGTCCACGATTTTGGCCTTGCGGAGAGTCCTACCATGAACATTTGTGTGTGTCCATGATTATGTGCCTTGGTGTAAATATTGTTAGAGCAAAAATGAATATGTTTAATTTTAGATGACAATGCCAAACATTCCAACTGGTTAAGCCATTTTACATTCCCACCGCCATTCTGTAAGAGATTCTTTGAATCAACATCCTCTGTAATACTGGGTAATGTCAATTTTTTTTTTTTTTTTACCAGTTGACTAGGTATAAAATGGTATCACATTGTTGTCTAAAATTCCTTGTGTTGATGACATTAAGTCTCTATGTGTTTATCGGCCAAAGATATTTTCTGTTATACATCTGTTCATGTCCTCACCTCTCCCTTTTTTAAATCAATTTGTAGGAATTCTATCCTTTGAATACCACTGAACCAGACCACCTCTAGTGACTACATTTAATTTATGAAACAGATCTTAGGCCTTTGAGTCCATCATTCTCTCATACTACCCTATTTGACTTGCAAACCCTTCTAAACTCTTGACCCCCTTTTCCTGCTCCATTTTTCCCCTTTAACACCTACCACCTTTGCAATATTAAATACATTTTTATTGACTGTTTTACTGTCTTCCCCTTTCTTTTTTTTTTTTTTAAAGATTTTATTTATTTATTTGAAAGAGAGAGAATGAGAGAGAGAGAGAGAGCACATGAGAGGGGGGAGAGTCAGAGGGAGAAGCAGACTCCCCGCCGAGCAGGGGGCCCGATGCGGGACTCGATCCCGGGACTCCAGGATCATGACTCGAGCCGAAGGCAGTCGCTTAACCAGCTGAGCCACCCAGGCGCCCCTGTCTTCCCCTTTCTATTACATGCAGGCTGCTACATGATAAGTATAGAGATTGAGATAAGCATTTATAAACATTTATTGCAATTTAATATTGTCATTTGTTAAAGGACTGGAAATTAAAAAACAACTTTGAAAACCACAGTCTAAGTTCTCATACCTCCATGTCAGAACGTTTGAAAGGCTCATTGAACAGAACGAGAAGAAGTATATAACTACCTGTCATAGGTGAAAAAAGTGTTCATGCTATACACAAATATAGTTGCTAACAAAGATGAATATTTGTTTTTCTAAGTTAATGAGGTGGTAAGTTTTTCTAATATGAGCATTAGCCATTGTTATAGCTGAGCCTGGCTTGTATCTCTTTGTGTTATTTTTATATTTATCATAGTATCTAGAGCTCTTTGAAGAGCTACTTTTAAAATGAAAGGGAATGCAAGCCACTTAATTATATGAAATTCAGGGACTGCATGGTCTCCGCTTAAACCTTTATATTCTCAGTCATCACTGAGTTTTGAGTTTTCATCCTGAAGTGTGACTATTAAAGTTTGCTTCCTACCTCTCTGGACTGTGCAAGTAAATATCTGAGAACTACCTAAGTTCATAACGTTGCTTTGTTAACTCCCTTACTTCTGGGTGGCTGTAAACACCTGCCTTGAGTACTTTTGTGCTGTAGTTTTCCACATAAAATGATACGATATTTTACAACTTCTGAAGTTGAGTAAAGTTCTGGGAAATCTGAGACGAAATCTCTAAAAACTATAAAATCAAAGTAATGTTTCACAACTTTAATATGACATTTTATCAGAATGAATGCAGAGTAGAGAACTGATACAAGAAGCTGTTTATCAGAGCTGTAAATATGTTTATAAAAATAAAGTGGTGAGATCTGGCTGCTTGGAAAATGTGGGCAAAGTTTTCTTTTAAAGAGCATACCCTTTATTTCCCAGCTATTTGCTACACCACAATATCTGCAAAGTAGCTAAGGTCTTATTTAGGCCTTTTGGGAGAATTTACATGGGTGCCTAGTCTGGAACTTGAAGCGCATTAATTTATATTGGAAATCACATAGCCTTGAGTTTTTCTTGTTCATAATTAAATTTTTTGCAAGAATAATTCCAATATATTTGTAACAGATAAAAGAATGAGTAGATTGTGTCATAATTTCAGCATAAACCTATTTTTCAGATAAGATGAGATAAACAGAAATTTAATATGTATTATAGTGGAGGTCAGACAGACCTAGGTTAAAACCTGGCCTTTACCATATATATTTATGTGCTGTGTTTCTATGCAAAAACCAACAAACATCTTTGATATCACCTATCTAATAGAGACAAGTGTATCCATTTTATTGGGCTGTTGTCATGATTAGGGATTATGAATAATTTATGTACATGTAGAGGGACCACTGTAGACACTTGTACATGGTAGTTGTTGTTATATTACAAAATACCGTGGCTGTGTGTGTGTTTACTATATATGCTAGTAAACCCTTTTCTTAGCTAAGTCCTATGGTAAATCCTTATACAGAGGGAAAAAAAAAAAAACAAAGGCAAAATTGAAAGAGCAGAAATTGGGTGGGGCTGGTGCAGGAAGAAAAAAAATCTCACCTACTGAGCATTCCTGATGGCCCTCAGGAAGTTTCCACAGCCATCCCTGGTGCCCTTCACGGAGGCCTCGAGCTCTGTAGAGTGCATCATGGAAACTGTTCTACTGGACTTTAAACACCTTGCGTGTAATAGCTGAAACTTACTTATTTTATTACCTGGTAGAGCATATGGTCTTGCAGTACGGTAGACGGCCGGCCACAGCGTGTTAAGTGACTCAGGTAATTCAGCTCTGCTACTGCAGAAATTCTCTTCCCTATCTGACGTCTAGGTGGGGTTGTAATTTGACGTTGAGCTATCCCACCTGCCAGGAAGCATGTGTCATTTAAAGGCTATAATGGTAACATCATTGTTTTTTCAGATCTAGGTTGGAATTTGCCCTTGACGGATACCAAAATGATGAGTGACGCAAGTGACATGTTGGCAGCGGCGTTGGAGCAGATGGATGGGATTATAGCAGGTAATCTGCGTCCTCTGAAGGACGGACTCAGGACGTTTACACTGCGCTCTTGGCTTTTCCATTCCGACTGTTTTATTACCTTTCCACTTTCTTATTTTCATTTATTGGCTGCCTCTAGATCCCCTGTGGTTTCACCTTGGTCCCTCTTCTCCATTTTATACCAGTATTATTCTCAAACTTTATTTTAAAATGTCAAATTCCATTTCCATCCTAGAGTTCTGACTCAAGGATAAACTGCATCTCACGTGATTTCGGTGCAGGTAGTCTGTGGGCCACACTTTGAGGGATACTGCTCTACCCAGTATCCATGGATATTCTGATCTGTTCCCTTGAATTCGACATTTACTTTCCCACCAATGACTCTCACTTCTATTTACTTTCTCAATTCTCTGCTAAGCTTTGGGTCTCTAACTGCCAATCAGGTATCTCCTTTGAAATAGCCTATATGCACATCCGTGTCATCAGGTAAAGCTTTGAGCTCATTTTCTTTCCTCAGAAGCCTCTCTAGTAGTCTTTATCTCGTCTAATTTCATAACCTTCCATCCACGCAGTTTCCCTAATAGAAATTTAAGTCACTCTAGACCTTTGTCCCTCATAGTCCCTGCTTAGTCAAGTTTTATCACTTCTTTCTCCCTTTAAATTCAACATTCCCTTTGATTCCCTCTAAAATCTGTCCTGTCTGTGCTTACCTCTGCCCTGCTTTATCCTAGCAACCCTCTCCCTTGATGTTCTTGACACTCTTGCTTTCCCGGTCTACTCCATCATTTTCTAGACTACCGCAGTTTCCTTTCTGAAACACAGATCTGGTCGTATTCCTCACTTGTTAAGAATCTTGAGCGATTCTGTGTTGTGGAAGTGGAGCAAAAACAGTGTAGACCATGACCTCCTTGTTTTCTCATCATGACCAAAGGGACTGACCAGTAGGTGAACCCTTTCACGCCCTTGTGGTCTCCCAGGGGTAGTGGCTCCCTAAGGTCTCATGTCACATTTTGTGTTTTGTCATAGGAGAAGTACCTTTATGTATTTAGGAACCCATGGTCATGAAGGGAGGGTTGAAGGAGCTAGTGGGTGGGGTTGTCATCCACCTGATGGTCAGGGTCAAGATGCTCTTGGCCTCTACTGCTCCTCCATTCTAGCTATTCTGGCCCCTGTTGCTTATCTTCTCTGGTCATAAATTTGACCCTACTCTGTTTTAGTGGTTCGAAGAAACCACAGGGGTTTTCCTTGTCAGAGGTTCTTCCCTTGAGGGACATGGCATGTCATAGTTTGGCCTCCTTTCTTGTACTTGTATATCCCAAGACCAGATTTTAATTTGACCTCCTTTGTAGATTAGACCACATCTTGTGTACTGTATTCAGTTCTTGGAATACCAATTTCAAAGAGGTTATTGGTAAAACTTAAGAGGAGGCGAACATGAAGGTGAAGAATTTAACAACCTCGTCTGGTAAGGAAGGAACTGGTTAAGTTTAACCTGGAAAAGTATATTCTTGCTCAAAGCGTGAGAGATACTTTCACACAGTTGAAGGACTATTAGGTGGAAAAGAGATTGGACTTACTGTGTCATAGTTTCAAAAAATATAACCAGAGCCAGATCTAAGCTATTATCAGAGGTTATAACCTTAAACTCTTAGTGAAACTCTAGTCAAGAGAAGTGGTATTTCTGGACAGTAGTTGAGGGTTGACATTTTATATACTCCACTAGATGAGTGTATTTGTTCCTTAACCCTGGTAGGGCTTCAGGACCAACATTAGAGTTATTCAGAAAATCAAGATTTCCTGGGTCCCACCTCACCCTGAGTTGGTCGATAGGTTAATGGGTAGGACCTGGGTTTATGTTCTCAAATTAATATCAGTAGCTCTCCACCTAAGGTAGGAGGGAGATATGACTGCAAATATTTGAGGAGTTTTTCTATATACACATCTCTCCCCTATACCCCACTTTGTTTTGTGATGGAGACTTAACAGAGTAGAAGGTTATTGTGGGCACATCTATTTTTAATGTATTATCGGGTGATCCTAATGCTTAAAACTGCTGGAATAGGACATTATAGTCTGCTTTGTTTTTAATGCTCTTCTGTTCTTCCCTTTCCCTAACATACTCTCCTCAATTTCTATTTTTCTGGATTCTCCTCTCAGCCTTACATGGTTTCTGAGGGGATTGATGCAGAGGTTATGTGAAGCATTTAGCATTGGGCCTAGCATATCAATGGTTACCATTATTACGGTTTGGCAGATTTTGGTCCAGATCATTTGGTCCAGTTTTAAGGAAGGTCAGTGGAATGGACTAACTGAAAGAAAATTCCTCTCCCCATGGTTGGAATTGATCAAAGCTGTATGGCCAACTGGTGAGAGAATTTACACATCGGTTCACAGTTTTCTTCCAATTATAAGACCCTCAGATTAATGAGGTGGTAGTCTAAATATCATAATTATTGACACTTAAATATGAAGTTAGTACATATATTAATAGTATGTATATTTGGCAGACCAGAAAATAAAAATCAAAGAGATGAAGAGGTATATATGAGTGCTTTCTGAACAGGCTCTGGGTCAGTTATGTAGATTTAAGTCATAGAATGCTTTCCTTTATAAGTAATAGGAAAAAAATGACTGTAAAACTATTTTTTAAAGCTGATATTAGCAAGAGCATTTGATGCTATGCTGCAAATAAAATCATGGGAGAAAATGTTAATACATACACACTCATTCATATATACACAAATGTATACATGTAATTCATCGAACTTCTCCAGAGATGAAATTCTGGTAAATTAACTGGGAGTTGGTCCTGTTACCCTTGACATTATGTTATGCAATTTCCACCTCAATGTGCAAACTTTTTTTAAAGGAATTTCTCAAAACTTTATGGTACCTAAATTTATATTTTGGGAGTACTTGGCTCTATCCAAGCTGATCTGCTACCTTCTTAGCCCTTATTTCCATGAAGTCAGCACATCTTTCACCAAAACCCATTCATTATATTCTTACTGTACTACACAGTTGGCCTCCCAATTAGGTATTTGGCGATTGATATTTACCATCAATTATGTGGGTTTTATTTTTTGCACCAAATCACTATGACTTGGAAATGATTGAATTATTTTCTTTTCCTTTTTGCTTGTTTTGATTATCCCTCACTGTGACTGGACTTGCTTGCCACCCTCAGCTTTAGTATATTATCTAATATAAATCCTGTTGCTCTCTCTGTGATTTTGTGGGTTTTTTTGTTTTTTTTTTTTTTAAACCCAGGTTCTAAGGCCCTGGAATATTCCAATGGGATTTTTGATTGCCAGTCTCCCACCTCCCCGTTCATGGGAAGCCTTCGAGCTCTGCACCTTGTGGAAGACCTGCGTGGCTTATTAGAGATGATGGACACAGATGAAAAGGAAGGTTTGAGATGCCAGATCCCAGATTCAACAGCAGAAACGGTCGTCGAATGGCTTCAGAGTCAAATGGTAGATATTGGCACGTTACAGATCCCATGCTGTGAATCTTTTGTGCTTATTCCAGAATTTAGAACATAGAGTAGCTGATGAGAACAAGAAAAAAAAAGTACAGGGCAACAGGTTTGCTGTGATTTTTATCCCTTAATGCATCCCAATTCCCTTTAAGGATAATGTTAATGTACATTTCATGGGTTCCAGCACATCACCTCATTTTGCCTATAAAGGTGGACTGACTAGCTTTCAAATTTTGCTTGGATGACCTGCTGTGGCCCAAAACAAATTGTCCTGTAAGGGAAAGAACCTTGCACGTAATAAATGCTTTCTCAGTACTATTGGGAGGTCCTATAAAAAGGACCCAATAACAATTCAAGTATGAAGTACAGGGAAAAGACGCTTCCAAAAGCAGCGACGTGGAGGTCTGCAGCAGTATTTGATATAAGGTGCCATCTAGCGGTCTATGGGGGCCATGCCAGTTCTAGTGCGTGAGGGAAGCTGTAGAATTGGGCTTTAAATGGCGTTCTTCCTCATTGAACAATGAGGCCCCTTTCTAGGCATCCGTCTCAAAGATGGATGGTGTGGCAGATCTGCCCTTTCCCCGAATACAGTGGTAAATACCATGGTTTTAATACGTGTAGAACAAATAAAATCTAAAGAATGCCACTAAAAATATTCAAAGAAGATAGAAAAAGTGTTCATTCTGTAATACAGTAATGCCACCGAACAATACACTTAAAAATGGTAAAAATGATAAATTTTCTGTGTGTATATTACCACCACCAAAAATGAGAACATTAATAGTGTGATAAAATTGATGGTTGGATTGTATCTTGGCATTTACCAATGCAGGCGCTGGAGACGGCAGGCCTGAATTTTGATTTTGGCGCTGATCTTAGAAGCTTGTATAATTTGGGGGAAATTTTTTAAACTGTTTGTCTCAAGTTTCCTCATTTGTGAAATGGGGACGATAGCTTCTGCCACATGGGATTGTGAGTCCCATGAGCTAATTTATGAGTGCTTGTCAGTGAGCCTGGTGGATGAGTCAAAAATGTAATACACTGAAGAGTGGATTGTAGAGAGTGGAGGGAAAATCATGGGATTCCTTTGCAAAGAGGGAAAGAGAGTGTTGGCTCCAATTACCCGTTACTCATACGTAATTCACTTTTTTGACAAGAGTACAGACATTTTTCAGACTATGGAGAAGCTTTCACAATATTTTGGAGAGACTTATTACTAGTGGCATAATTAAGATTTCATTTATGTTTAATGATAGCCAATTTGGGAGTTCACGTACTTAAGACTGATACTGATCTTCTCATTAGTGCAACTGGGCATTTGCAGTTCTAATTACTTCGCCCGGGCCAGGGAGATCCCCTGGTTTCCTGTTGGATGTCACTTCTTCCTTCCCTACTGATTTCTGCTGCCTGTGTTGTTGTTTCATATGATCAGAAGCTGGATGAGAAGAAAGAAAATAGTCACGCTAGTCGTTTGTTACTGGAGAAGGGATATTAAATCTATAAGAATGAATTTGTTTTAATAAAGTAGCTATAGCTGTAGCCTTCTAAACACCGACAAGTTTAAGACTCAGAAGTTCCTCTCCTGTGGTTAAAAAAAAAAAAAAAATCTATTGACTATGCCGTATTTGGTCAAGTACTGAGGTAGAATTCTTTGTTTTGATCGTGAAATGTTATCCTGTTAATACAAATATTAATGATGGAGAATTACATGCTTTATCAAGCTCTAAGTTTAAGAGGGCAAATAGAAAAAATATGTCAAATTGTTTGAGCCAAGCAAGCAGTTTCCGTTTGCTTTAGGTCTAACTCCGTGAGTTGCCTAGAACATTCATACAGTGCTTTTCCCAATAGATGAAGTTGAGGATCATGACCTTGATCAGGGCATGAAATATCCCACAAGTGTCCGGTTATTTGGCGGTTTTAATATGAGGCATTCTCCAAATCAGGAGAAATGACAAAAGTACAGTTTTCAACAAAGTGAGTGGAAATGCGATGACAGAAGTCCAAACCAGGCATTGTGGCTGATGAGATAAAGTGAAGTGTGCCTCCCTGGCTTCTGACCTGATAAGTCTCAATACATTTCTGTCTTATTCCTACATTTAAAAAATTAGTGATATTAATTGCAAGTGTATCTTTTTCAAAAATTTTTTAGGAGAAGTTTCATAAAAATAAATACCCATAATTTAGAGAGTTCAGAAGTGAGGCACGTTTTCTCCAGGCCCCTGACTCTCCTCCACGTGACCCATTCCAGGCCCGCCATCCTCAGATCCCCCGCTGCTCTCTGCCCAGCTTCTCTTTTCATGTGTGCCTCCAGGGAGTGTTTGTTCAAGCCTTGGCAAACAAGGCACATCTTAAGATTGTATTCTGTACGGGGTCACAAATTATCTGAGTTATGCAGTGTCTCACTGAGACGTCCTCGCTAACGTGAAGACGGCTTTCCCCCTTCTGGCACCAGGCTTCTGGTAAACTCCCATGAAAAGCATCCACAGATACAAGACAACGAATGGAGCAAGTCAGCAGAATTCTTGGGAGAAGCCAGCGCAGTGTGATAAGTGAGAGATGCACTTTTAATGAAATCCCTGGTGACCGGTGTTGGTGAGGACTGAATGGAAAGAGATGTGTCTGTTCTTTCATGAAAGTGAGTCAAGAAAGGCTAAGTGGCAAGAAAAACAGGGACAGCCTTTTTTCTTGATCTCGTGTTATCCTTCTCAAAGTAGAAGATTCTCTTGCTATATCTGCATCCTGTCACATTGCTGGCTTTCGGGAAATATTGCAGAAACGAAGGAATAATGGGTGAGCGTATGAATATTGTAAGCTACTCCAATAGAGCTGGGCCTTAGCTTCTAGGGCTCTTCTAGTCTTCATCCTTCTGTAGCTCAGAGGGCTTGGGAGTATCCCTGCGACCAGGATAGCGTAGTCTCAACATGTACCCTTCTCCGCCCTGCAGAAGCTTCAGGGAACATGGTGGTGTGCATGAAAATGAGGTGAGGAAGGGCCAGAACACATCTTCCCTACTCAAGTAAGGTGTCTAAGAGAACCTTTTAGGAGACACTAAAGATAGCCATCAAACTCTGCACTGGCCACGGAGGCACAAATAAGGGCTACGCATGCATCCGCTGGATCATGGCCTAGCCACTGGAGCTTGGCAGCAGATAACCAAATACTTCCAGGGACGCTCCCTCAAGATATTTCTAATGAGATTGGCAGATGAAAGCACTTGGCATCTGCGGCTCTTACAGGCCTTTGGGATGTAGTTGCATTTGTGGAGTAGTGCATCCTAGAAGTTGGCCTGCTGCTGGGATCCTTCTCACCCCAGAGCACGTGTTTTTGCTCCCGTTGGCTATTGATTGAAGAAGGTGCTTTCTGTTTCTGGAAAACAAGCACTGAGAAAATTAAAACCCAGAAATAAGAGCCATAGTCTGATTTTGACCATGTCTGCAATCTCGACTTGGAAAGTACAGAAGATATTCAGGCTTCTCCTGAGCTTCGGGCTTTGATGCACTTTCTGCTGACATTGAATAAATGGGCATTTTTTCTAGGAGAGCCTCACGCTTGGGCTTTTTGGGTGTGTTGAAGTGTATATGAGCTTGATTTCTCCCTTTGGTTTTCTTTTTGAGCGGAGATGTTGAGATTTTGGAATAAATAGAGGGCTTCCTGAAAAGGTTGTCCCCGTTGCCCTGGTCTCGTATTTATTTTTTTAGAGCCGTAACAGAAATTTCAGAGGGAAAAATAAATGGGGTGTTTCAAGATTGATGGAGGCAGAGGTGCGATAATACGTAGGGGCACCAGCCAACCAGAAGGGATGCTCCAGTGGCTCCCAGTGGTAGTGGTGTTGCCCCGAGATCATTATGTACAGCGCCAGGAGAGAACCTCACCACCCTGATTCCATCACACTTGGTGAGAGGACAGGGGAGCCTGGTGGCTTGATTTCCGGCACTGTTGAGAATCACGTTCGTTGATTCTTTGGACAGTAGCATATGAGTAGCGTATGAGATTCCTTCTTGTGCTATTAGACCCCAGTGAAATGTGACTGTGATGTTCATGGCTTTCCAGTTTTTCTCCATCTCTCCTTCTACTGCAGTGTCTAGTAGAGGGCAGGCAACGAATTTCTGCACCCAGTGGTGGAGACGTAATGCTGATTAGGATGCATGAGGCCCTTGTAGGAGACAGTTCTTTGGGTAGCTGGAGATAACATTTAATTAAAAGAGCTTTAGCAGGCTTCGCCTTCCTTTTTCTTTCTTGATATGGAATTTTGAAAAATGTAATCATGAAATCAAAAACTGGACAGCAGTTTTTAAAACTAATTTAAAAAATAAGTGTATTGACTTCGGTGGAGAGTGTGTGTGTTGGGGGCGCGGTGTGTGTGTATGTGTTACAACACCAGTCCGACTATTTCTTTTTTTTTTTTTTTTAAAGATTTTATTTATTTATTTGTGAGAGAGAGAATGAGAGAGAGCACATGAGAGGGGGGAGGGTCAGAGGGAGAAGCAGGCTCCCTGCAGAGCAGGGAGCCCGATGCGGGACTCGATCCAGGGACTCCGGGATCATGACCTGAGCCGAAGGCAGTCGCTTAACCAACTGAGCCACCCAGGCGCCCAGTCCGACTATTTCTTAAGATTTGTTGTCCTTATAAAATTGAACCAATTTTCTTTTCCCCGTTTTAATTTAGCTACTCACCACTCTGATTTGGGAATGTTATATTCAAACTGAGTTCTGTGTTACAACATAAGTAAGTGTAATTGTCGCAAATCACTTCTTGTTGGTTGATTCGGGATTTAGACAGGACAACAGAGCTCAGGAAAGAAGGATAAAGCAAAACAAAGGTTGGGGGGAGAGGGGAGACAACTGGAGACCAATGCAAACCAACAGAACTAAGAAAATTAAAGGAAAACATAGCATGATGCTTTAAGTAAAAATAACGGGCAAAATGTTCCTGCCTAGCTTGAAGTAATAACTGTTGATACCGTGTGATGGGTATCTAAGGTCTCTACTTTTATA